ATAAACGGCAAAAGTCAACAGGCTTTTCAAAATCCAAAATATTGCCAAACAGGCACTTTTGCATCTCGTTTCGAAACTAAATCATCCGCGATCGTCTTGTCTGTCTCACCCCACTCTTGTCAGTCAGCTCGACCCACTCTCCTCACTGGAGAAATGAAATCAGATCTGTGATGCAACTGTCGTTCAACTGCATTGAGCAGCTGCGTTCAGTTTTTAATTGTTGTGTCTGTTCTTTTACTGAACTAAATGATTTTTATTACTATAAAAAATCCTAAACGACGGTGGGGGTCGGTGACGCGGTGGGCAAGTGACAACTGCATTGAGCAGCTGCGTTCAGTTTTTAATTGTTGTGTCTGTTCTTTTACTGAACTAAATGATTTTTATTACTATAAAAAATCCAAACGACGGTTGGGGTCGGTGCCGTGGTGGGCAAGTGACGTAACCGGTGTTGCAGCTTAACACCGGTATCACCATCTGCACCGTCTATCGCGGCAAGCCTAATCTCAATGCAGCTAAGTTTAGTTCAATGAAGGTGTCTATGTCGTCAAGTTCATCAATTATGAAATGCTATAAAAGCAGCTCTACAGAAGACAATAGTGTCATTATTCAGCTCAAGTGAAGTCAAGGCTAGCATGTCTGATCTGTTCTTTGCTCCCTATCCCGCAGGCCCAGGTTAAAAAATGTGGACCGCAGCAGTGCACAACATCTGGAAGTGACAGTGGGAGATCTGACGGTTATCATAACAGACTTTAAGGAGAAAAGTAAGCCCTCCTCCAGTTCGTCCTCCAGCGCAGCATCTGGAGACCACCACAGCCAGAGCGGATCCAACTCAGACAACACAGAGAAGGGGATCTCCAGATCCTCATCCCCGCGAGGGGAGGGTTCCTTACTCAACGGGGAATCTCACTAGGAACCCGTGGATTACAAACGTTACTTCCAGTCTCCTGCACCTAATATATCCATTTTAAACGAACAGACACAGGAGCGCGCTTATGTATGCCAAGACTTACCGAGACACAGACTTAACCCAGCAATATAAGCCATCTCTCACTACTACCACAGTTATAGAATCTGAAACATAGGTTTTCACCACGATACACTCGCCCTGGTTTGTTACAGTGCCCAGTAGGTCAGCTTGAGATAAACTGTAGACTTTGTAAGCAATTTTGATGATTGAATTTTGACAATTTAATTTCTATAGCATGTGGTAGTATTATGAATCAGATAAGTATTGTTGTCTGTTTGGATTTGGACATTGACACCCATTCTCTGTCTCTTCACTATTGTGACAATTTCATAGACCATTATTTTTTTAAATCACAATATGTAATTTCTGCAACAGCACCCATTACATCTCGGTAATTAGCCCTGGGGCTTAAAAACTTTCAACTGGAACATTGTTGTGAAAGTATTTGATTCTACATTAATGACATGTCAGTTGCAAATTGTTACTTTAAAATACTTAAATGCATTACAGGATGAGCGTTAAGCCATCTATGAATAACTGACCCAAACAGGACTTCCTTTCTCAATTGTTTGTTGCACCTGCTGGTACTTTTTGTATGGTTCTATGAGAAAAGCCTTTAAACGCAGAAATTCATTGTTTAATTTGTTCTTGTTCATGTTGTTTTATTTGAAACTTGTCATAGATTGCATCACTTGTGCGGCTAGTTGTTCTACCAGCGCTGTTTTGTGTTAGATTGTCTTGATATAATTCTGTTAATTTCACAAGAAACATAACATTTATGACTAAAAATGACAAATGTATTTGTAAGAATTCATCCCATCCTTTATGATGAACGGTGGACGTGGTATATAAATATATTGCAGTATAGGAAATATCTCTTAATAAAATGTAAGATTTAGACTCCCGTTGTCAACTAAAACTTATTTTCAGGGCAAACGAAGACCTTTAAGGGAGTGATTATCGAATTTGGGTTGTTTGTGTGGTGAAATGTCTGTTAAGTTCTCTTTGAAATGAGGATGATATTCGCTGTGGGTCTTCAAAGTGTTTTGGTTTTTACCTCTCCATGAGGGGAGATGCAATATTTGGCATACGGGTTGAGTCAGAGACAAGGAAGAGTATTGTTCCTTACTTGACAACTACCAGCAGTGTCTTAACACAACATGACAATCCAATTCTCAATAGACATTGCCCAATACAGCAGACAACATTTCATTCCTTTTGTCTCTGATTAAAATGATTTTAAAAATCCTGTTTTGCTGGTAGAAAAGAACACCAAGTCCAGTTCCTCTATGCTCCCCACAGGCACTCTTAAATTATAAATATTCATAATTTTAGTCTACATGTGTGACTGATTTTTTTTCAATATGTATTCCTGTAAACATTAGTAACTATTTTAAAGATACTACTACCAATTTAGTTACTAACTATTATTACACAATCTTTCATTTTTACTAGTAGTTATGATACTAAGAATTAATTTTAACTTTACTGTTCTGGCAATGATCTAGTTATAATGGCTATTAAATAATTCAGTTAAAAATCCTACTTGTAAGATTAAAAATGCATGATGTAACAATTGTGATTTGTTATTAAAACATTAAATTTTGTGTCACATAATTCTGTAAAATTTTCTACAACTTTTACTAATAAATCCCAACTACAAAAATTAGTTATTTGTTAACAATAATAAAAAAAATAAGTAACTAAAAATATCTAGTAATAACTTAATAATAGTTGCTAGTAAGCTTTGAGGAATCAACCTTACAGGGTTTGTCATAGTAGGGGTCTTTCTCACGCCATTGGGGGAAGAACTTGTGTATGTGGGGGGATGGTGGTGGCGTTTAATAATAAGAAGCCTGACTCATTTGCGAATCGGTTCCTATGAACAGATCGTGTTAAACAACCGATACAGAGGTTCTTTAGGTAATTACGTCATTATCTGTTTTTATACAGTCTATGGTCATTATGTGGTCTGTGACAGCCTGGCATAATGTTTGCATGCGCTAAAATGTTCCAGTAAAAACATATGTAGGCACATATTTCTTTATATGACGTTTCTTATATTATATCAGGGTGTTAATTATAATTTCATGTAATCAAGTTCAGTTTGTAGCAGTCAAGATTCAGCTCAGCTATAAAAAAAGTCAGTTTTGTTAAAACTGTCGTACAATCACATTTCTAAAAAATTTAAGACCTTAGTTATAACATTTCCGCTATTTGGCTAAACAGAGTATTTTCCGTTGGAAAAGATCCGACTCAAAAGAACGATTCGTTCACGAACCGGACATCGCTGGTGGTCATTAGTGGGCGAGTACACACACGGTGTACACTTTTCAAGTGAAACAGTGTCCGTGTCCTGTAGAATGCGTGTATATCTTTCTACATTTAGTTTGTGCATAGCTATCGCTCTTCTGTCTTTAGTATTTTTGTTTAGTAAACATGATGCTGAAAGTTTTTCGGCCGGTTTTAAAGCGCCGCTGGAGCCGTCCGTCGTGAAGAACTTAAATGGAGTAAAAGCAAAACAACGACCCACCGCGACCACGCCACACAGACTCGCGTAAATCAGATTTGTTTCATTCATTTTGTTTAAAGACGATGTTTGTTTAGCGGAATTCACGCAAATAACTTTTTAACAATTTTTGTTTGTTTGTTTAAAAAAGATGTTTGAGTTTGCATAGTGTTTCTGTCACAATACTGGGGGTGAAATCGTAATGTGTCATTCAGTGTGTGTTCATGCTGCAGCGATAGCCAATTGATCTATATATTGTTCACATAAGAGGTCAGATGTACAGGAAACGCCCAACACTCCTGAAATCCACATGAACGGGAAACGATGCACATGACAACAGCCTGCGTAATTCCACACTGACTCGAGAACTGTTTATGGAGGAAGGTGTTCAGACCTACCTGTACTGATTCATTGTCAAGGGAGAGCGCTGGCATGTCGAGAGCATTGTTGAGATGTTGAGCACAGTGATGCAACAAACTGCCAAATCAAGCCTCTCACGCACACCTGTGTTTCAGATGGTAGGCTCAGATTACAGGCAAATGGGTGGTTTAGTCTTGGTCAATTTGGGTAATTAATTTAATATGAACTAATATATATATATATATATATATATATAATGGTAATAAAAGACATGATTAATTTAATCAATAAAATGCAAAATCATGTCTTTTTAAGTATTAATGGCTGTTAACTTTATAGTTTACTAATTCCAGCTGTTGCAAAATGTATATATATATATATACAGAACACTCTACTCTGCATTTACCTAATTAATCAAGGCTGATGATTTTTGGCACATTCAATGAATATAGTACATTATGGTTTAAAAAATAAATATTTTTGAGACATGTTTAATGAACTATCATAACAAAAACATTAAATATATTTTAAGATATATATATAAAATATATTTTATCTTTATTTTTTTACATTAATTTTGATGTTTATTAAATGTTTATTGCAAAACTTAAACTATAAAATAATTGCAAATAATTAGGGAATAGAAACAGCTCGTTTTGTTGGAGTAGTTGTGGTATTGTTTATTTACTAATCCATCATTTTATCAGCTCATTTATGTTTTTTTTTTCCTTTGTTGTGATACTTATAAGATACATTTAGTAAACAAGTTTGTTTAAAAGATGAAATGTCTTAGTTTATCACATTTAGTTTACATTTTTAGTTTAGATTATCACCTTTTTTACATTTTAAAACTTTTTTCTATTTAATTTTGACGCGTATTGTCTAAATACATTTTAAAAAGAATAGCAAATTATTATAAAATAAAAACAGCTCATTTTCTGAACAGAGCACCTTCTTGTCGCAGAGCATTTGTCAGAAAAGTTGTTCATTTTAAAAAGAATAGCAAATTATTATAAAAACAGCTCATTTTCTGAACAGAGCACCTTCTTGTCGCAGAGCATTTGTCAGAAAAGTTGTTGTGGTCTTATTTACTCATTCATTCTTTTATCAGCCCATTTAGTTTTTTTTTTTTTTCTTTGTTGTGAGACCTATTAGATACATTTAATCAACCATTATAACAAAGTTAGTTTTAAACATCAAATATGCTTTTTATTTTGTCTATCCTATTACACTTTTAAAAATGTCCATTTAATTTGGATGTCTATTTAATGTTTATTGCAAACATGACTGCAAATTATTAGAAAATTAAACCGCTCATTTAAAAATTCTACATGTTCTAAAGGATAAGCACCCCCTTTCAGTGACTGTTTGTTGGAAAAGAAGTTGTAGTCTATTTACTCATGGTGTTCAGTAAAACTAAAACTAATATATTTACAGAGATGTTGCGCACAAGGTGAATTCACCTGGACAGCGAGAGCCGTTGATGCAGCTGGCTGTGGTGGCCTGTGGAGAGAGACACGGGGAAGCTGTCAACATGCTCAAGACCGCAGCCATGCTCAGCAGCCGAGCCTTGAGATTTCACATCTTTGCAGAGGAGCAGTTACACACCAACATAAAAACAGTAGTCAGTATGAGCCAATTGTCATTTCTGACATATATGCATGCAAATCTATGTTGTTGCACAAGAATGAGCACGTTTTCCCACCGTTAAAGGGGATGCATGTCATTTTAAATGGTCATATATTTTCCCCATCCAAGAAGGCAAAAAGATCAGTTCACCCAAAACTGAAAATTTACTGAAAGGTTACCCACCCTCAGAACATCCAAAATAAAGATGAGTTTGTTTCTTCATCAGAACGGATTTGGTGAAATTTAGCATTATATCACTTATTTACAAACACACAGCTTTTTGATTCAACGAGATGTTAATTGATTGACGGTCGTGTGGATTATTGTGGTGTTTTTATCAGCAGTTTGGGCTCTCATTCTGACGGCACCCATTCACTGCAGAGGATCCACTGCTGAGCAAGTGATGTAATGCTTAAATTCTCCAAATCTGTTCTGATGAAGAAACAAACTCATCTACATCTTGTATGGCCTGAAGATTAGTACATTTTCAGCAAGTTTTCATTTTTGGGTGAACTATTCCTTTAATCTGCTACTGAACCATTGAGAAACTGTATAAAGAGATGAAATATTTACACTTTTCCAATCCATTTTCCACTTATACAGCTGGATTCCTGGCCAGCTTTCATCCGAGCGAAATTCAGCTATGTTGTTCACCCCATTTCATTCCCCCATGAGAACCATGAAGAGTGGAGTCAGCTTTTCAAGCCATGTGCATCACAGAGACTCTTCTTACCGGTGAGTATTACTGCAGTTTAAAGCAATTTAAACAGCATGTTTAGTTTATATCTAAAATATCTACAACTATTTTAAGCAAAAGCTGATTTTTTTTGCCTTGATTGTGTCGTTTAAAATGTCTGAAAAGGTTACAGTGATTGCACTGGAAAATACTGTGCTGCTTTCCTTTTGTAAGATGTCAAATAATTCATATAACTCTTTTCTGAAATGGCAATATCATTTTTCTGAAAGTAGAAAATGTATTTTGTACTCAAAAACACTGCAATTTGACAAACTATTTGCAATTCCTTTCTTTTCTCTACAGATGATTCTGAAGGAGGTGGACTCCTTACTCTATGTGGACACCGATGTCCTCTTCCTGCAGCCTGTAGAGCTGATCTGGGACATGTTGACGCACTTTAACTCCACACAGTTAGTAGCCATGGCTCCAGAACACGAGGAGCTGCGGATTGCCTGGTATAAGCGCTTCTCCCGGCATCCGTATTATGGAAAAACTGGCATCAACTCTGGCGTCATGCTGATGAATTTGACTCGGATGCGAATGACACAATTCAAGGTGAGATTAGAGGGCCAGACCCCAAACATTCTTCCTTTATGTGAGGGTTGATGTACCTGGAGAGAGCTATTCCTATTCATCTCAATTGTAGGCACATGCAGAAGTGCTTAATCTGGATGCCGCCATCTTGTTTCATAGGCAAACATGATTTGGTCAATCATGATACATTTAATCAACCATTATAACAAAGTTAGTTTTAAACATCAAATATGCTTTTTATTTTGTCTATCCTATTACACTTTTAAAAATGTCCATTTAATTTTGATGTCTATTTAATGTTTATTGCAAACATGACTGCAAATTATTAGAAAATTAAACCGCTCATTTAAAAATTCTACATGTTCTAAAGGATAAGCACCCCCTTTCAGTGACTGTTTGTTGGAAAAGAAGTTGTAGTCTATTTACTCATGGTGTTCAGTAAAACTAAAACTAATATATTTACAGAGATGTTGCGCACAAGGTGAATTCACCTGGACAGCGAGAGCCGTTGATGCAGCTGGCTGTGGTGGCCTGTGGAGAGAGACACGGGGAAGCTGTCAACATGCTCAAGACCGCAGCCATGCTCAGCAGCCGAGCCTTGAGATTTCACATCTTTGCAGAGGAGCAGTTACACACCAACATAAAAACAGTAGTCAGTATGAGCCAATTGTCATTTCTGACATATATGCATGCAAATCTATGTTGTTGCACAAGAATGAGCACGTTTTCCCACCGTTAAAGGGGATGCATGTCATTTTAAATGGTCATATATTTTCCCCATCCAAGAAGGCAAAAAGATCAGTTCACCCAAAACTGAAAATTTACTGAAAGGTTACCCACCCTCAGAACATCCAAAATAAAGATGAGTTTGTTTCTTCATCAGAACGGATTTGGTGAAATTTAGCATTATATCACTTATTTACAAACACACAGCTTTTTGATTCAACGAGATGTTAATTGATTGACGGTCGTGTGGATTATTGTGGTGTTTTTATCAGCAGTTTGGGCTCTCATTCTGACGGCACCCATTCACTGCAGAGGATCCACTGCTGAGCAAGTGATGTAATGCTTAAATTCTCCAAATCTGTTCTGATGAAGAAACAAACTCATCTACATCTTGTATGGCCTGAAGATTAGTACATTTTCAGCAAGTTTTCATTTTTGGGTGAACTATTCCTTTAATCTGCTACTGAACCATTGAGAAACTGTATAAAGAGATGAAATATTTACACTTTTCCAATCCATTTTCCACTTATACAGCTGGATTCCTGGCCAGCTTTCATCCGAGCGAAATTCAGCTATGTTGTTCACCCCATTTCATTCCCCCATGAGAACCATGAAGAGTGGAGTCAGCTTTTCAAGCCATGTGCATCACAGAGACTCTTCTTACCGGTGAGTATTACTGCAGTTTAAAGCAATTTAAACAGCATGTTTAGTTTATATCTAAAATATCTACAACTATTTTAAGCGAAAGCTGATTTTTTTTGCCTTGATTGTGTCGTTTAAAATGTCTGAAAAGGTTACAGTGATTGCACTGGAAAATACTGTGCTGCTTTCCTTTTGTAAGATGTCAAATAATTCATATAACTCTTTTCTGAAATGGCAATATCATTTTTCTGAAAGTAGAAAATGTATTTTGTACTCAAAAACACTGCAATTTGACAAACTATTTGCAATTCCTTTCTTTTCTCTACAGATGATTCTGAAGGAGGTGGACTCCTTACTCTATGTGGACACCGATGTCCTCTTCCTGCAGCCTGTAGAGCTGATCTGGGACATGTTGACGCACTTTAACTCCACACAGTTAGTAGCCATGGCTCCAGAACACGAGGAGCTGCGGATTGCCTGGTATAAGCGCTTCTCCCGGCATCCGTATTATGGAAAAACTGGCATCAACTCTGGCGTCATGCTGATGAATTTGACTCGGATGCGAATGACACAATTCAAGGTGAGATTAGAGGGCCAGACCCCAAACATTCTTCCTTTATGTGAGGGTTGATGTACCTGGAGAGAGCTATTCCTATTCATCTCAATTGTAGGCACATGCAGAAGTGCTTAATCTGGATGCCGCCATCTTGTTTCATAGGCAAACATGATTTGGTCAATCATGTGAGCTGTAAATGTCATGTGACATTGAATATTACTATATTAAAACACCTAGCAACAAAGAAAGAAAAAAAACATTTAAAATCTAAAAAATAAAATAATATAAAAAAAATAAAATTTCTAAAACTAATAAAAAGATTTAATAGTAGTAGTAGTAGTAAAAAAAATTATAATACTAATATTTACCTAAGTAATATAAAGTAATATATTTTAAGTTTGGGCTTTTGGATTTAAAAAAAATATTTTTGAAAGAAGACTCTTGTGCTCATCCAATCTACATTTTTAATCAAAAATTCAATAAAAACAGTATTATTGTGAAATATTATTACAATTTAAAATAACTTTTTTCTATTTTAATATATTTTAAAATCTAAATGATACCTGTGATGGAAAAGCTGCATTTCCAGCAGCCATTACTCCAGTCTTAAGCGTTACATGATCCTGTAGAAATAATTCTAATATGCTGATTTGGTACTCAAGAAACATTTCATATTATTTTCAATGTTGAAAACAGTACTTAGTACTTTTTAAAAATTCATGCACTAGTAAAAAATATTTATGACTCCATCTTGAACATGTTGCAATTACATTTCAGTCCAGAAGAGGGTGGTAAAGGTCTCTTTTTTTATTGGCTTCTGCCTAGAGATCATTACAAACTTTACTCTTTTTTCCCCCCCTCTTTATGGACAGAATGACATGACTTCTATTGGTCTGCACTGGGACGAGCTTCTGATGCCTCTGTTACAGAAATACAAGCTTAACATAACCTGGGGTGATCAAGATCTGATTAATATCATCTTCCATTACAATCCAGGTAAGCCTTTCTGGGTTGCGTTCATTCCTTATAGTTTTATTCCATTTCAAGTCTCTGTAACAGATGTGTGTTTCCTCCAGAGATGGTATTTACCTTCCCTTGCCACTGGAACTACCGTCCTGACCACTGCATCTACGGCAGCAACTGCATCCCAGCAGAGAAAGAGGGTGTTTTCATGCTACATGGCAACAGAGGAGTGTTTCACAGCAACAAACAGCCTGCCTTCAAGGCCGTGTATGACACTTTCAAACATGTGAGTTGTATTAGGGGAGTTTTGTTAGTTACTATTAGCTAAACTTTTATCACAACCCTTTTGTTTTTTTTCCAACCAGTTTATGTCCAGCCAAAGCTAATAAGTCACTCTTTACTTTTATCTGGCAGTACACATTTGGAGAGGATCTCATACAATCATTCTTGTTACCCCTGGAGGAGGCGCTGAACGGAACCACACACACATACTGTGGGAAAGTTAGTCATTTATTTGCCAGAGGACTTGGAAAGTCTGTAAGGAAGCTCCAGAGAATGACTCCAGCAGGTGGCTGAGCTGGCTGTGATGTTGTCGCTGAATAATGACAGAAATGTATTCTCTGAGACTGGATAGGAACGTCACTGCTCTTCCAGTCGAATCGGTGCAATGTTAGTGCTGAACGTTCAGTTGGAACCCTCAGAGATATAGAATGGGTTAAATGATGAAATGTGAATTTAAACTGATACTTCTCATTCTCAAGGAGCCATTTTCATTTCATTTTTTTCCCTAGTTAAAGGGACAGTCCAAAAAAAAAATTTCACCCAAATGTCATTCCAAATCTGTATGAACAAATAAGTCAAACTGTTGTTACACGTACATAGCTATTGTATGACTTAAGTTGACTTAAGACAGACGTTTGTTTACTTTATACATTTTAACAATATTTTGATTGCAGAGAAAAATAAATGAAGAAACATTAGAATAATGAGATAATTAGTAAATGACAGCAAGGGACATTGCAAAAAATACACTCAAATCAGGTGGTGAGAAGGAAAAAAAAACACTCCAAAGTTCACTTTAATTATGATATTGTGATGAAAACTAACATGAATTCCATCTTTTAAACTTATAAGTTTAATACTAATATACTGAGATGACGCGACCCAGTTCATTTGTTAAATACATCTAAACCTACACCATTTATTGGTGTCTCCTTTCATAATGTGCCATTACACTCTACATCCATGTTCACTCTTTATCATTCATTCACTCATGTACTGGAGATAAATATGGAGTCTAAAACAAAAAATCTGTGGGTTTATTGTCCATTTCTTCATGTGTGTGTCCTCCATCAAACACTGCCTGTCTGAATCAGCCCCTCGTTTACAATGGATCCTCTATCTTTGCTTTCCTTTCCATCATTTCTCCCTTGGACAATATTTACCTCAAGTGGGAACAAATAGATGTTTTTTTCTGCTCAACAGAAAAGCAACCTGCGGTGTCGTGAAAGAGACCTTATCTCTCATTCCTATTTTCCCCCAGTGAGCTTTTCAATTAGGTAATTACAGTCATGTGAAAGGAGACTCGGCAGAGAGCCCCGCTGCATTGTGGGAGCACCTGTCCCCCACAGACGCTAATTACCTGGCACGTGAACCGTCCCCATTGTGTAGGAGGGGTCCGAGTCTGCAGGAAGTGCAAACCCAGCCAACGTGGCGTCTAATCAATGGGCGAGTGGTGGCTGTGAAACAGGTACACAGGAAGAGAAATGTACTGCAAGATTTGATAAATTGGGAAATACTTGAAAATGTAAATATTCGTTTTACATAATGTTCATATGAAATAAAAAAATATATATCACACTAATTAGAGTTTGTGACTATCACTTTCATTCCCCACTGAAGGATTACTGGAGTGATGAGGAAAAATATTAAAGGATTAGTTCACCTAAAAATGTAAATTTGCTGAAAATGTACTCACCCTCAAGTCACAGCAGATGTAGATGAGTTGTTTCTTTATCGGAACAGATTTGGAGAAATGTAGCACTTGTTCACCAATAGATCCACTGCAGTGAAAGAGTGCGGTCAGAATGAGAATCCAAACAACTGATAAAAACATTACAATAATACACAAGTATAATATACAACAAGGCCGTAACCATGTCTTGAACATTGAGGGGGGACAGATTTTGGGGGTTGGGGACTTGTCCCCCTCAGTGTCTATGGTGGTTACAGCCCTAATTAATCCACAGGACTCCAGTCCATCAATTACAGTGGTATGAAGTGAAAAGCTGCGTGCAAGAAACAATTCATCATTCCTACGTTTTTAACTTCAAACCGTTGCTTCTAGCCAAAATATGAGTCTATAATCCATAATAATGCTTCCTCCAGTGAAAAAAAAAAAAAACCCATCAAAATTCATCTACATCTTGGATGGCCTGAAGGGTAAGTACATTTTCAGCAATTTTTTTATTGGGTAAGACTTTTGTGCACAAATCGTATGGACTACTGTGACTGAATAGTGCTTTTTATAGTACTTTTGGATGTACTGTTCCTTTAAGACTGATATTGAACGTACTGCAAGATTTGATAAATTGGGAAATACTTGAAAATGTAAATATTGTATTCGTTTTACATAATGTTCATATGAAATAAAAAAATATATATCACACTAATTAGAGTTTGTGACTATCACTTTCATTCCGCTCGGAGGGGTCCGAGTCTGCAGGAAGTGCAAACCCAGCCAACGTGGCGTCTAATCAATGGGCGAGTGGTGGCTGTGAAACAGGTACACAGGAAGAGAAATAAATGTGTGGGATGCTTTTCTCACTTGCTTATTTATGCATTTGTTACAAACACACCGTGAAGCTTAGAAACACATTGCATTGTGGTGTAAGTTTTAGTTAGTTCGATGTCAAAAATATTGATACTTCTATATTAATTTATGTGGGATGCTTTTCTCACTTGCTTATTTATGCATTTGTTACAAACACACCGTGAAGCTTAGAAACACATTGCATTGTGGTCTAAGTTTTAGTTAGTTCGATGTCAAAAATATTGATACTTCTATATTAATTTGATAATAAATCAGTGATTCTGAACCTTTTTGAAAAAAAAAACCCATCAAAATTCATCTACATCTTGGATGGCCTGAAGGGTAAGTACATTTTCAGCAATTTTTTTATTGGGTGAACTATTCCGTTAAACCAATCATTTTAGAAGCAAATAGTCACGGAACGGATTTAGCACAAGCTACAAGCAACAAACTGAAAATGTGGAGTTTTAACATTTTAGGTTATTTTTTACATTTTTTTTAGAAATGTAGATATAGCTGATAGAACATTTTGCATATGTAATGAGACATTTCTGCAACTGACTGGACTATTTTATTTTTTAATTTATTTATTTAATAAAGCAAGCCAAACCAAAAAGTTACAACTTTCCTCCACCAGGGTGCAGCCTTGATTCAGGTCTTTATGAATACAGACTGTTTTAGAGCGATGACCATGGCTTTGTTCTGCGATCACATAACACAACAGTAAATACTGTACCACATCCCAACAATATTTTCTTCATCTTATAACAGGCAGAGACAGACTTTTTTTGCAAAGTGAAAATTTGAGGTAATTTAAAACACTACTCAGTTAAAGCTCTTGGAGCACACACACAAAAAAAGAGGAAATGGCCCTGGGAAGTTCTGTAATGAGATGAACGATTAAAACATCAATACTTGGCAACCCTTAAAGCCATAGATGTTAATGACACACGAAAAACCTAATTCATTTATAATATAGAAGCTGACCTGCATACGGTCCATTTGAAGCATCAGCAACATGTGCTTGAAGGTCGAGATGACTAAACAGACTACAGGACACAATGAGAGGACTGAAGTCATGTTTCATAATGACATCTCATGGATCAATGTAGCAGCAAATAATCCATGTCTGGACCACCTGAGGCACAATAGCTGATTTACAAGGATGTGCAGGTCAAAGGCTACACTTGATAGAACAATAATGAGGGCCTGTAGGTGGTCGTCCTCTTGTATCTGACAACCAGTATGATGACACTAGGAATCTATATTCCAACATTTAAAGAGAAAAATAGTGGGCATTTATATGTATCATGTTTGATCAATTCACCTCTTTCATGAAAATAAATATTACTGGCTGCACTGGAAGATAATGTTTCTATAAATAAATACATAAAAAGGAAAGCATTTGCCTTGAACACCAGTCTGTGAATTTTTATATTTACTGATCTTCTGATATGATGATACTGTTTTCTATAATTTTATTTTTAAATGTTATTAAAAAAAATTAATTTTTTATTTTAATTTTAAGAGTAAGATAAAACAATTAAGGATGATGTCATAAATGATCTTTTGATAATATACTGTATTACAAGAAACTAATAGGATTTAAGTAACAATCTCTCTCTCGTTATATATATATATATATATATATTCTAAGTTTTAGTTAGTTCGATGTCAAAAATATTGATACTTCTATATTAATTTGATAATAAATCAGTGATTCTGAACCTTTTTGACTCTAATGCCCCTGATTGTGAGCAACAGTTTTCTTTTAAAACTTACATTTGGCACTTCTAGTTTCTGCAAATAAAAAAGTAACTAAAATAATTACAATTAAAGAAATTGCATTTCATAATTCCAGTTGTTTTAGAAGCTGAAAGTTCTTCAGGGATCCCACTTTTTTATCAAACATTTACATTACTCTTCCAGTAGTTTGCAATTTACTGAATAAGGATTTAAAAAAATATTGTTTTACTCAATTTCTGCCTGATAGAATATTTTAGCGCTTGACACAACTGGTAAAATATATATTCATTATAAAAACATCTATGGCATTTTTAATTTACATGATATTAACAAGTCTAGAAATGACACTTTTAAAATTGGGCGACCTCAAATATCCACATTTTCAAAAACTGCATGTAGGAGCTCTGGTTTTTCATAGGAAACGCAGTGTATACCCTTTAGTTATTTTATCTTATTTTAATGCTTTTTTGTCTTATTTTAAATTATTTTAAGTCATCTTGCAGCCTCTTTGAAAGTTTGCTGGGACCCCTTTGTTGAGAACCACCGCAAAATGAAAAAAGTAACAATACTAGTATTTGTAAATTTGTTGACATTTCTGCCTTGCCAAAGTGTGAATGTAAATGCATATAGTTACGTCTTAAGCATTTTTTGAATGCAAACAGAAAAAAAGTATACGAATTAACACATCATTATGCCATCATTATGCTTACTTGTCATTAATATGAATTAAACAATAACACTGAGAAGAAAGTCACTGCCAGTGTTTCACAAAAGTGTCATAAACCTACGTAGATCATAGAAATCACTGGCACCAAAAATTAATAATTAATAATATAATAATAATAATTAATTAATTAAAATTTACTTACTTTGGTGAAATGCAGCCCAGATCAGGTTGGAAGACCAACAAACCAGCTTAAGATGGTTTACGCATATGTTTTAAATAAGATTTTTGCTGAGTATATTTTGAAGCGTTAATAAGTAAAAAAAATTTTTTTGCAGTGGTATTATCTAGAGTCGTAAATATTCAGGGTTCGACAACAGTATCTGCATTTTTCATTGAAAAATCACTATCGTGGGACTACTGAACTTTCACTTCTTACTTCAAAAAATTTATCAGATTACTTTTCTTGTAACCAGAAACTAGCAGAATTCAAAACAAAAACAAATAACAAAGATTACAAGAACATTACAACACATCAGCGATGAAGCCATTTCCTGCAATACATCTCACAAATGTCAGTATTCATCAGTATTCATTCTGCTACTGAATGTATGTGCTTATGTTGACCTGAATAGACATCTCTTCTCTCTTACTGTATGTGGAGCAAGAGACGCCTTCTGTCTCCCAAGT